AGAAAGAGTTTGAAATCTATAGGAGTGGACTCAGTTTTCTGTGCTGATTTCAAATATGACATTTTTTAAAAGTCAAATGAAGTACTTTCTGCTCGAAAATCGCCAAATTCCAGTCAAAAAATAGAGAAATTGCGGTCAAAGATACTAGTGAAAGCAAAAGCACTTCTTAAGACATCGAATTTCAAGTTGAAAATCGCATCAACAGAAAGAGCACATTGAATTGCATATCCAATGAAAAAATCAAGCTGGTGCACCCGGAAAAAGTGTAACTTCGAAAGACTCGAAAAATCATTATTTGTGCCAAAATGACCCAATCGGGGCGGTGTTTGGCATTTACCGATAGGGAAAAACCCAAATGTCTAAGACATTCTTATAGATTCTGATAGAGAATGAAATTCTCTATCCACTGAGCCTATTTGAGACTAGCTTAGTTGAGATTTTGATGGACTTTCGGGTCAAAAATTGATTTTTACGACCTCTAGAAAGTACCTCAGATCTTTCTTCTTATCCGAGTACTTTTGCAAAATAATATGATATTTGTAATCAGCACACATAGCGCTATCAAACTAGAAAGACTTCTGATGGAAAAGAGAAAAAAAAATTTTTTCGAAACCCGAGGGGGACTCCAGGGGTCAAAAAATTGAGTTGTGATAAAATACAAAATAAACTTGTGAAAAATAATCAGGGCTCAATGCTGATTATTGGGGTAATAAAATTAGGCTTATCTGGTTTGGTACGATCAGTCCGTAATTTGACACACCTCCTTTTATTTTATAAAATGATTATTTTTTTTCATCGCTTTAATTAAATTCATCGTTTGATCATCTTGAATGTATTTTTTTAAAAGTTGGTCAAACTGATATACCTATCTCAATTTTATCCAATTTATCATATTTACCACGTCTTTTCTCGTTGACAATCGAAACAACAAATATAAAAAAAAGAATTAATGATATATATCAATTAATATTTGTTTTACATAAATTAAAATATTATCGTATGTTCTGTTTTAATGATGATCATTTAATTGAACTTCCATTAGCAATAAATAACCAATATAGTCCACTTGAATATCTTATTATTGATCATCATTGTTCTTTAAATGAACTTAAATCATTAATTTCATATACACCAGAACTTTGTCATTTAACTATTCGTCAAATTGATCCAAATATTACAATATTAAAATCAATTACATTAATGGATTTGATGTTTATCTATTTACATATGTGCAAAATATCATCTTATGAATTGAAAACATTCTTAGTTAATATATCTTCAACTTTAAAGATCTTGTCTATTAATTCATTAAATGATATTACATTTCTTAATGCTTATCAATGGGAAGAATTTATTTCATATTATTATCCTCAATTAGAAAAATTTTATTTTAAATATTATGATCGTATTAATAATAATAATGATCAATATGAAATATATTCAGAACAAATAAATCAATTTTCTTCAACATTTTGGATTGAACGACGATGGATATTTCATGTTGAAATTGATAACAGAGATATTAAATATGTGATTTATCCATACAAGTATATTGACGAATATTTTTTATAGAAAATTAATTCTTCTATTTTTTTTTCAGAAAACGATGGTATGATTATATAGATGATAATAATATTAAATATTCAACATCAACTAGTCTAATTTTATCAGTTGATCTTAATTAGGGGTGTCAACTTTGCGTTCCGTTCCTAGGAACGGGGAACGCTACTCCGTTCCCATTCCTGGGAACGCGGAACGCTACCCCGTTCCCGTTCCTGAGAATGGGGAACGCTGAACACTCAAACATAAAAAGAAAAGTGAATATGTCTAGAGACCTCGCCATGTTGAAATATAGCGTGGAAATGTGATTTTGACAAGCGTTCCCGTTCCTAGGAACGGAATGTTGAGGAACGGGGAACGCTGACACCCATAATCTTAATCCATTTTATGTTGAAATTTTATTCAAAAGAATCAAACGTATATTAACAATAACACAAATACATCATTTGGAAATTATTGAAGAACATATAGTACCCGGTATGTTAATTCGATTAGTCAAACAATTGCCCGATGTAATAACATTAAAATTTCATTCTTTGGCATCGATTCTACAGATTGAAGAAATTGATGATGAATATTTTCATACTTCTTCAATGACACGTATTCATATTAATAAAGTTTACCTTCAAGTTTTCAACAGTATGGAAGACTTCAACTTTATTATGGTACTTTTTCCTCTTACTATGTATCTGCAAGTGGGATACATAAACAATATGAATATTGAATTATTTGTATGAAATATTTTGAAGAATATTAATAATGAATGTAATGGTCATCTGCGTTTATTATGTTGTCATGTTCCAGCATTAGATGATAAAATGATTGATTACATACAACAGATGATTATACGTGAACAATTACTTGATCATTTTAAAATTAAACGCATGAATGATAATATCCCAGGTCCAAAAATCCGACGACGGATCCTATCGGATCCGATCGGACCCGAAAACCGACAAAAATCCGATCGGAATCCGGGTTACAGAATTCCGATCGGGTCCGACAATCGGATACTCATACGTTTCCGATAATTTCCGATTGTCGAAATCCCCATTTATTCCGACGGTCGGATACCGATCGGATTTCTATAGGATTATATCAATCTTTCAACCGAGGTCCAAAAAATCCGACAAAAATCCGATCGGAATCCGGCTTGCAGAATTTCGATCGGATCCGACAATCGCATACTCATACGCTTCCGATAACTTCCGATTGTTGAAATCCCCATTTATTCCGACGGTCGGATACCGATCGGATTTCTATAGGATTCCATCAATCTTTGAATCTGTGGTCGATTTTATTTATTATGATAATGTTTGGAATCTAAATTTTACCTTATGTGAGCCGGAAAGTTTCATGATTTATAGCCACTGAAACGTAGTGTGTTTAATATAGGTTTTGGATTAAGGTGCAGCAGAATAGTTATTTTTTCTAGTATATAATGCCTTGATCAAGGAACTTATAAAATGCGGCTACCCGCGAGAAAGCTTGTTGACCTGATAACAACAAACTGTCTGTTTTCAACATGAGCACACAGGTTTCTATGAAGTACGAACTAAAAGAAGTGCTGAAGTACAGAAGTAGTAAGTTCGATTCTATGTTTCTGCCCAATTGACCAAAATATACACTAAAACAACATGTCGTTATCCGTTGTGACAAAAATCGTTTCAAACGTAGAATCTTTTCAGTATATTCATAAATTCATAAAACAGAAAATTTTTAGTTTCGAAACTGTTTAAAAAGGTCTGAATATGACATTGAATTCAGTTAAATTATTTCATTTCTCGAAATGGCAACAAATGTATACGTAGATATCTCCATTCGAGCTTAGCACTGATATAAGTTACTATCCTATTGGATCACATCGGATTTTGAAAATTCAGTTCTGGAAATGAGCAAATATGCCTACCTTCATATCTCGCTTGGAGCTTATCATTAATATAAGTTTCTACCATTTGGATCCGATGGGGATTTTGAAAACTGAGTTCTGGAAATGGCAAAAATGTACATCTACGTATCTCCATTCGAGCTTAGCACTGCTATAAGCTTCTATCCTATAGAATCCGATCGGATTTTGAAAATTGAGTTTTCGAAATGCCGAAAAATTCAAACTTCCATATCACCATTGGACTTTATCTTTGATATAGGTTTCTACCCTATAGGATCCGATCGGACTTTGAAAATTCAGATCTGGAAATGGCCAAAAAGGCGTACCTATATATTTCAATTGGAGCTTAGCATTAATATAAGTTTCTACCCTATAGGATCCGATCAGATTTTGAAAATTAAGTTCTCGAAGTGATCAAAAAGCCATACCTACATATAACTATTAAAGTTAAGCATTCATACAAGTATCTATCCTATAGGATCCTATCGGATTTTGAAAATTGAGTCCTGGAAGTGATGAAAA